TAAGCTACAAAACATAATTTTCAAATAAATGAAAAAGGATAAAAAAAAACAAAAACAGAGTAAAAGAGCAAGTATACGTGAAATCTCGTTACAGTGTACTTCTATAGGGAACAAGAAAAATTATTTACATCGAGATTCCCTTGAGAAATTTTCACATTCACATTCTTTTTTCTAGAAATCCTGTACAATCTCAACTGTTTGTACGGCCGAATCTCAACAGTTTTCAAGGATAAGACATTTATCAAGCAGAATATAAAAAAAAATCACGACAGCACGAGTAAAATGTTTCTCCGGTGAAAGAATTAATTTTCGCCCAGAACCATTTTAGATCACGACTGACGCAGACGAAAATCCATTTAATATTTATATCTAGAGACTATTCTCTGAATGATGAAACTTTCTATTTGAAGAAAAACTACAGTATTTCAGATTTTTCTTCAACGGCCGGCAACAACATCGCTCCAAACGTTTCTTCGTACAAAGCTTGATTAGAAAAGGGCAATACTTCTTTCTTCACATCATTACAATGAAAACTACTAAAATTTGAAACTTCTGAAAGCAGGTGTTGAAAAAACCGAGTGCTTCGCCTGATTTGAAGTGACTATTCAGTACTGCATAGTATAACCTGACGGCCTGCCATCTCCAATACAGGGAGAAAAAACTGGACTTTCTGTCCAAAAATTGTATCAAAGAGCTTGGTTTTGGCTTATTCTATATTTTAGCTCTTGTTGTAAATGAAATTATGTCCGATCAAGAAGAAAATACTGTTTGTTCATTCGTTCAAAATCATGCAATGAGAAGATTCTGAAATATTGCATATGAGTCACGTTTTCTTTACGCGATTTTCTCGTGTTTTTCCCGGCTCTTTCAGCATAGTATTTTTTTACCAAGTAACATGTGATGTGCGTACCGTTTGAATATCTGAAAAATTCCGCATTAAAGGACAATTCATGGCTGTTTCAGAAAGCCGAAGTCTTCCTTGCAAAATTTAAAATTTTTTGCGGCTCTTACGGCTTTTTTTTCTTTCTAACTATGCCTTTTTTTCCCGTGAATACAACAATTTTACCTCACCGACTTTCCAAACAACATTTCGTTTTTCAGAACGAAACATTGAAAGGATGGGGGGGGGGGGTGTGAAAAAGGTTGATTACGAAATACTGCACTGCACTTCAACAGCCAAATGGTCTTCAACAATTCAAGTCCAACACGAAATTTAAGAAATCTCATGTTTTAAGCCGGGCATGAAACATTACCACAAACTTGTAGCCGACAGAAGGGACATTTCATTAAAAAATTAATCAAATTTTCACAGGTGTCTAAGTGGTGTAATCTCTGCAGCATAAATACAATAGTTGATGCATAACCTTTTATTATGCCCAGCATTCCACAGCTGCAGAAATGAGTTTCAAAAAGATTTGGGACTCTTAAAATTCAATGAAAAAACTCTTTACCAAATCTTAGAGGACCAATAATACAATCTGTCAACCTTATATGATTTCTCATTGAAGATTCTCTCCAAATCGTTTATCAACTAAACCATATCTGGGAGCAGGCTGAACACCTTGTTCTTTAATTTGGGTTTAGTAACTGCTTTATGCTGCAATTCTTATTATTGATATTATGTTTTTGTTATCAGTAAAGGGAAGAACGTGTATGTATTTACATCAGTTGTGCGGTTGCACTTTTTGGGATGTATTTTCTTTCCTTTTAATATTCATGTACAGTTTTTTTCTCTGTTTTCCCTTCTGATGTGAAGACTGCGTTTGGATAAATGTGGGTGGGGAGGGGAGAGGGTTTGGATGTGGGAACATTGCTTGAACCTCGTGAATGCTGAAAAGTGGAAAATAAAGCTTGCTGTTCAATTTAATTCAAAACAGAAAGGGGTTCTTCTGGAGGAAGACTCTTTGTGACGCACCTAAAATTCGCGCAGTTTCCCACGCGCCAGATCGTTGTTTATACATTTTGTTTTCTTTTCTTCAATTGAAAAACAAAAACACAAATGGAAAATCCGCGTCACGCGATGCTCGCATATCATAAAACCGTGTAATTTCGACAACACAGCGAATCTGCGCCCACGCAGCCAAGGCTTTATAGTCAGCCGCCGCCGCTTGCGAAGCATTCATTTTCATCCCTGAAGTAAAATTCCGTTTCTTTCGGGGCGGCTGCGATTTTCCTTCAATCAATTAGGCGTGTCACGAGAAGAAAAAAAAAAAGGTTTCAAAAGCGCAACGCTTCGTGCTTACAGTCGATGCTTTTCTGATGTGCATCAAGATAACACACGGCTTCACTCGCTGTTCCGAATTTGCATCCCTGATTCCAGGGCCCACGGGGAGCTTTTTTTTTTTCTCGCGTTAACTGAGTCGGAGTCGATTCACTTTGGCGATTGAAGCTTACGGGAATCGATTCGGGTAGAAATTCGACGGCAGAGAACGGTCGTTATTATGGAACATTCATCACGGGGCATTGAGCCATCGGCAGTAGCAGCGTGGCTTTTTGGAATACGGTTGAGGCAGTCGCTGCGCGATGATGTCATCATGTAATGACCTTAACATTCATCAAACTGTCGTATTTTTTCGAAAATAAGACTCGTTATTCGGCAAACAGCTAATCCTCATTGAGAATCAAGGAGCGTTTGAGAATTGTTGGCATTTTAGATTCAACCGCAAAATTCAAAGAAGAGAAATTTGAGATTTTGAAAAGTTAAAACTGTGATAAGAAAAAATCAACATGTCACTGGTTCCTCAGCTGAGTGAAATGCTATTCGTGTCATTTATTGCTTTCAGAGAAAATTTTCTTAAAATAAAATAAAAGAGATTGAAGTGAACCCTTCTCGGCAATGTGTCACGTAAAACTTCGCGTTTGAAGACAAAATGTCGTTCAAAAGGCAATGCACTTTTCATTCTACTCTGTAGAACAGAGTTCTTGCTATTTCCTGAAAATAGTTACTAGATTCGTCCGCAATTTCATTTCATGGATTAATTGGAAAAGTGACGTGCGTCTCACAATCGCACCGAAACGTATAAATATAATCATATCAGTACCACGTTCAAATTGCGACAACTATGCAGAAAAGCAAGATGAATATCATTTATCACGGGAAGCTTCTGGAACCGTAAACAAGAACTTTTTTAGAAATCATTGGGATGTTCTCGGCTTCGTCATTCGTTCTGCATCTTCAATTTCTTCAAGTATGAATGGACGGATACGCGACTGATCCGAAACACAGCCAAACTTTTCAGAAAACAAGCCATTGCCCTCATATAATTCAAGTCCAGTATATTGTTAGACAAACTAATTCGTCATTGAATAAGCTCCTGAATAGTTACCGAGGTCGTCATTGAGGTGAAATTTGAACGATGTTCTCACCCATCGACAGATCTTTACTTTTCGTGGATGTTCTTTTCTCGCTTTCTGAACCTCATTTATAGCGCAACTCTTGAACACGTCAACGATCAAGTTCTTGCTAGAGCAGTCATTTTTTTTAATGTTTTACTGCATCACAAAAATTGACAACGAGAAAAAGCAGTAAAAACTCAAATGCAGCGCAGTAAAGGTCAAGTACANTCGGGTAGAAATTCGACGGCAGAGAACGGTCGTTATTATGGAACATTCATCACGGGGCATTGAGCCATCGGCAGTAGCAGCGTGGCTTTTTGGAATACGGTTGAGGCAGTCGCTGCGCGATGATGTCGTCATGTAATGATCTTAGCATTCATCAAACTGTCGTATTTATTCAAAAATAAGACTCATTATTCGGCAAAAAGCTAATCCTCATTGAGAATCAAGGAGCGTCTGAGAATTGTTGGCATTTCAGATTCGCCCGCAAAATTCTGCTTAACGGTGTGGCAGAAAGAAGTGCCTTCATTCGCCATGACTAAACTTACACTCGGAATAAATATGAAAGCATAATCAGAGAAGAGAAATTTGAGATTTTGAAAAGTTATTACTGTGATGAGAAAAACTCAACATGTTACTGGTTCCTCAGCTGAGTGAGATGCTATTCGTGTCGTTCATTGCTTTCAGAGGGAATCTTCTTAAAATACAATAAAAGAGATTGAAGTGAACCCTTCTCGGCAATTTGTCACGTAAAACTTCGCGTTTGAAGACAAAATGTCGTTCAAAAGGCAATGGGCGTTTTAATCTACTCTGTAGAACAGAATGCTTGCTATTTCCTGAAAATAGTTACTAGATTCGTCCGCAATTTCATTTCTTGGATTAATTGGAAAAGTGACGTGCGTCTCACAATCGCACCGAAACGTACATACAATCATATCAGTACCACATTCAAATTGCGACAACTATGCAGAAAAACAAGATGAGCAGCGTTTATCACGGGAAACTTCTGGAACCGTAAACACGAACTTTCTAGAAATCATTGGGATGATCTCGGCTTCGTCATTCGTTCTGCATCTTCAATTTCTTCAAGTATGAATGGACGGATACGCGACTGATCCGAAACACAGCCAAACTTTTCAGAAAACAAGCCATTGCCCTCATATAATTCAAGTCCAGTATATTGTTAGACAAACTAATTCGTCATTGAATAAGCTCCTGAATAGTTACCGAGGTCGTCATTGAAGTGAAATTTGAACGATGTTCTCACCCATCGACAGATCTTTACTTTTCGTGGATGTTCTTTTCTCGTTTTCTGAACCTTATTTATAGCGCAACTCTTGAACACGTCAACGATCAAGTTCTTGCTAGAGCAGTCATTTTTTTATGTTTTACTGCATCACAAAAATTGACAACGAGAAAAAGCAGTAAAAACTCAAATGCAGCGCAGTAAAGGTCAAGTACAAAAGGATGGGTAATATTTCTCGTGGGAAAATTTGCCTCGTTAAATCTCTACATCCTTCAGCCCCCAGAAGCATCGTAATTCACAATACGCGTGATAGTGAAATTTTTATCGAATGAAGTATTACGAAATTTACTTCATTCCTCATCCTCAAAAGACACGCAGATGCGATAAAATAAAAGAAGGTACTCAAAGTAAGGGTCACTCACCACATGTCAGCCGCTGTCGTAATCGGTTCAAAGTGAAGAATCTCAGGAGCTGAAAAAATACGAAGGAGGAAAAACCAAAAAACAACTTATGAATATGTCGTCGTTTTTACAGTCTAAAGTCGGAATTTGCTTCTTTTAAAAATATAAATGTCATTATATGAAGCGAATTGGAGAATCGAAAAACAATAAAGATCGCAAAATTATTCGTGAAAGTGACGTATTCCATGCATTACTTCGATTTAGAGCAAATGGTACCCCGAACAATAGACGCAGCAAACAGAGAGTTTTTGCCCGATTTACAGAGACTGGCAACGATTTTTTTCTCGGATAATGAACCCTGTAACGGATAATAAAAGGGTGAAAGTGAGAAATAGAGTGTCGTTCAAAGAATCTGATTTGCTTGCAGGAATATCGCAGCTAGAGCAACACTCGTATACAGTTACAGTTTTTTGGGTTGTATTCTTTAACGTATCTGTGATTTCACAATACTGTACAGTATTTTATGTTCAACAACTGCAGACTCATTTAGAAATTAATTTCAAAATTCGTCAGGCAAATTTCTGAGGGATCTGTAGCGCATCAATCACTCTTCCTTATACAATGAGACCCCGATATGCAGACACCCCAACATATGGTCAATTTATTTACTAAAAACACTTGAAAACTAAAAATATCAAGCCCTACATCTGGACATTGGCTCGAGGTAGGGATTTGCTTTTGAAATCTTCCGAAACAATTGAAACATTTTTTTTTACAAATTTTTATATCTTTCAAAGAAATCAAGCTACTTTATTTATACTGTATTCTTGAAAATTAAAAAATTCAAGTAAAATCCCTCTGATCCATGATCAAAAGCAAGCTGATGTTGTGTGTCTTTTTTCAGAGTTTTTTCTTCTATCATCTGTGCATATTATAGTAAGACTTATTCTTTTTCTTTCCTTTTTGATCTCCTTTTGATACCAAAAGACCAAATTCTGTGTGTTTGTTCTGGACTGTTGTTTTCTACAACTTGAAGTTGAGGGAAAACATTTTATTATATTTTTGAGGACTTATTCCTAATTTTTGACAAAAAGGAGAACCAATTAAATAACTAACATTGAAGTCAAAGGGAAAGTGAGACTCGACTTGGGACATTCTGACATCAGGACACTCTCGATGCACCAATCATGTCCGTATCTCGGGGTCTCACTTTTCATCTCCACATGTACTCAGTTAATGCCCGTTTTGGGATGTTTGGAGCAGTTCTATGTGGCTTTGGGCTACTCAGGTACTGTACTGTAATATGCTTTCCGGATGACGAATTCCCCAACGGCACGTATCAGGTCCATTAACCGAGACTCTATCGCATTTGAAACTCCCAAGAACAGAAAATCCTTTCAATACTCACCGACGTAGTCAGCAGTGCCCAAAATCTCGTTGACATGATCGTCTTTGATCACTCGAGAGCTCTCAAAGTCGCACAATTTCACGTCGCAGCACGGGAACGGACCGGTCAGGACCAAGTTTTGTGGCTAAAGAAAAAAATGCAGAGCAAAAGTACGTAAGTAAACGTCAGTAATGCCTCAAAGTCGCCGGAAAATCAAAAAAACCGACATCACGGAATATTACTCGTCAATTGAGTTTGAAGAACGCTGAAACAAGAATAAAATACTGTCTGTATATAGCAGCGAGGTCAATAAACGCCCATTCGTTGATGATTCATTTGTTCTTCGGAGTTTCAAGAAAGACGCGACGTAATTTGAAAGACATCTTCAAATGAATTCGATGCAATGATCCCTGAATAAAACATCCCACATGGCGCAAGCTTATCTTTCCTAGGAAAACGAAAAAATCATTAAACAGCGGAGTATGTGGGCTCATCGTATTACCCTACGAATAAATATGATTTTTCAATAGATTCAAATCATAAAAACATCGAATTAATGATGTGGCCGATTCAGTGGCCACAAAACAATAAAAGATGCTCGTCAACGAATCTTTTTTTTTAAACCTCCAGAAAAGTGGATTCGACGCTCGAGCAATTATGATCGCATTTCTATAGTCTTGAGACAATCGAATAAAAAAAATGGGATGTATACTGCTTTTTTTTTTTTTGTGCGTGTGGAGGATATATTGATCGAAAATATATAGATTGAAGAGAAGGACGAGGGTATCTGTTCGGGTCCGAACAATTTATCATGTGTTCAGGGGAAATCGTTTCGAAGCGCCGATATCATCGATTTTCCCGTTCGATCGAATTCTCTCCAAGGCTGAGTCGGAATCATCATTTTTCACTGCGGTGAATTTTTCTTATCCTCTTTGGATATGTCCGGACGTCGTCCGAAACGACGGAATTATTCCGTCGCTCCCCGTGTTCCGAAAAAAAACAAAATTAGAAATAAAAATAATACATAGAGAGCGACTGAAATGACCTTTTTAAGGGAGATGGCTGGTTGCCCTGGGACCTCAACAGAGGGAAAGAGCAGGGACGAGAAGAATTGATGACGCGCTCCACTAATCGCTCTGACGATGTCTTCCTCGACTGAAGCTTCTCCATATCGGCCTTCGAGGCGGCGATCACCGTCGGACCGACGGCGACCGGCGCCCTTGTCGTCACGTCACCTCATCGCCGCCGCGAAATTCCATTCTCTCATCTCCAGTTTTTTTGTTTTGTTTATTTATTTTTTCTGTCTTAGAAAGGTCAACTGGAGGAAAAATAAAGGCCCCGCCCTTCCCATACGAGACTGTGGGTTTATTCCGACTCCGTTTTTCACTGTCAGCGATTCACATGCTTGATACAGGGAAACCCGAGTTCTTCACCCAAGCGGCTTCCTTTGAACGTCAACCTCAATCACGGGGGAAATGCAATTCATTTCAAAGTCTTTGAACGAAATCCTGAGTGAGTATAGAAGAATCACACATACAGTAGTTTCTAAAACCTAACCCGAAGTTCCCGAGAAACAAGGGGGGCACCGGTTTTGAAGCATACCGTCTATATAAACTCTGGAAGACAATCGGTTCACCCCGTACAGTTCGTCTCTTCCACACAAGCAGTTCTTTCCATTAGAGAGGAATTTTTTGATTACCGGCATGTCGTAGACTTCCTCGGAAAATGTTCCAGAAGACTCAAGTATTAATGAAGCCTTGATCATCCGACCCTTGAGTCCAACCGAGAAACTCATCGCAACTGTTTCGAATGTAAATAATTCAAACCTCTTCAGCAATAAAACAAAATAAAAAATTCCCCAAGAGAAACAATCGAACAAGGGTTGTTTCGTAAGTTTCTTCAGTAATTCCCCTCTCTCGTTTCAGTTTCGTATGATGAACATGAGATGAGGCAGACTTTCACAAAAAAATTTCATGACCAACGTTCCCCGTTTCGATCAACCATGTTGAAATGAAGAATTGAAATCTAAATGGACAGTTGCCACTATATTCAGAGACATAATTCAGCTTTCATGTTTGCACGTTTCCTGCAGACAATTCAGGCGCCGATATATTTTTCATATTCAGTAATTGAAAAAAAATGCATTAAGGTACGTGTCATGTCCAAAATATGTCAACCATGTACAAAGGAAAAGTGCTTCGATCCTGGCAATGTTTGTGTTACTGATGGCGCATGTCAATGTTTTCCTAAAATTTTGATTATTGAGTAAGAAGCTGGCTACTGCAGTCGATTCAAGAATTCAACTGGGACTGGACTTCGCTTCCTTCTCAAAACACAGGTTATCAGAGGATTATGACTGAATCTTCGAAGCAGCCCAACAAATTAATTTCAAGACATTGACAACTTTTGCACAATTGCTCGTTTTTTCAAACATAAACCCACAAATTTGCGCATGGAAAAAACGAAAGAGCACGAATTTCCAATCGAGGTTCAGAGAGAAAGAGAGATATTATAGGAAGAGATCGTTCGACACTCAAGTCTATATAGTTCGAATCTTCGCGAAGTGTTCAGCAGGAGAGAATAAACGAGTCGCTTAATTTTTTCCGGAAGCTTCCTCATCGGGAACCTAAATACAGTATTTTCTTATTCCTAAAACCAGTAATGAAGCGTAATTTGATCCGAACCTTGAGTCCACTCGCAACTCATCGCGGCTATTATCTGATGCAGTTGCGGGGCGATAAATTACCCAGCGGGGGCAACAATTGATCTCTCTGCACTCAGCAGCAGCTCATTGATGGATGTGAGAACTTATTTCCGTATACTCGATCCCGATCGAGGTAATCATCTTGCCTACCGCGAAAGCATCTGAAGTTCTATTTTTCAATACTGTAGTAATTTTTTTCCCATCATATCGTGATAGCATACAAGAGACTAAATTTTTGATAGGAGATCAAATTACAAGCCGGACTGGGAAGTGCGAGTGGGATTAGATGACCTTAGAGAGCTCCCGGAACCGCGAGGCGACGTTTTTAGAGTGAATGACAAACACGTTCTAATGGACACCGAGGGAGCCAAACAGAACTTGAAGCAAAACAAGTGATACTGGATCACACGACAATTGCTAGCATCACTCTTCCGTACAAGATTCGAGTAGAAAATTAAAGGCATCAGGTTCCCGCTTTACACAGTATTTCAGTTGTTCTCTGATTTTATTTAAAAAAAAAATTAAAATGGGGGAATTTATTTTAAATCCATAATTCCCGCTTAATTTCAACATAGCACTGTGATAATTTAAAGGAATCCGAATGGCCAAAGAAAATATTCACCAGTAAGGTGGCACTTCGAACTGTTACCAAATGCGTTTTCCATTCTGAACTTATCGTGCATCAGTTTCCTACCTCGATTTCAGGTTCCCCCCCCCTGATTTTACGGTACTTGAATGAAGTTGAAAGGGCGAAACAAATTTATTCGAAACCTCACAATTCCCGTTTAATTTCAACAATATATTGATATCGGCAATATCAAAATCGAAAAGCTTACAAAATGTTCCGCAGTAATGCGACGCTTCGAACTGTTGCCATATGCATTTTCAATGCTACAATTCTGGGCATACTTTTACGATGAATAAATTATACACCATCACTTTCAAAATTAATGACTTTCTCAAGAAGATCCCGATTACGATTACAGTAAAATGTAAAAACGATAATCGACACCCTTCTTCGGAAAATCCGGCGGAGGTATAATTTTTTTTTAAATTCTCGGCTTGGAGGAAAAATTGAAAATAAATCGACGAATAGACTTTTTACATTTTTTGTCGAGCAGCTATATTGACAAGGAAGTTTCCGTATAACACAAATTTTGTTATCAATTCACACATATATATATATATATATATATATATATATATCATGTAAGATTTTAAAACTATATTTCGAGTATTTAGTGAAATTTGAGATCGTCGTTTGAGTAAAAAATCAAGTCGGTTTTATATGTTAATTTTATGTTGATGGCGGATTTACAAAAGTTTATCTCGCTAGCTAATGATTCAGAAGTAGGGTAGACATCTAAGCAATGACACCATGGCCTTCCTTCTCTTGCGAACGTCAAGCGTGACCAAAAATGGTTAACGTTCTTCAAGTTTATTTACTTGGTGACATTTAATGCAAATCGCCCATTGCACCACGGAGACCTTCCCTGTATCATCTTTCCCTTACATTCAAAATATAAAGCTTCTGCTTATATCAACAAACAGATAAAGCTCATCAATGACATTAGACTAGACTGCTGGAGTACTTCCTGGGTTCATCGAGCAGCTCGGGTTAGTTATTAGAAAGCTGAAGTCAGAAAATGCAGGTTAGAACACTTTCAGTAAGGCCATCCACTTGTCGCATGTCCTTTTAGAACACATATACTGCATATAAATAAAATTTGAAATCGATCATGGATTTTTTGTTTAGAATTCTATGGGCAGCTCTGACTTTTTCTCCCCGGTTCATTTGTCCAATCGTTCAAGATACTGAATAATTCAGCGAATTTTTGAGCACTTGAAGATGAAGGGTCTCTCGATAAATACCACTTCTGCGTCATTTTTTAAAATTCCATCACCAGAAACGATAATGTACAACATCCTATAAAAATTGAATGTTCAGTTTCGGAAAGCTCCTCTTTTTGTCCATTTTGTTGAAAATATTATCTCCAGGTTTTGCGGACGATGAACAGGACCTTTTTGTTTTGGAAATTAAATAATAGAAAAAAATACACGAGCATGAAGAGCATTTCAGAAATAATAAATTAGTCTTTGGAATGTAACGGGGTCGTTAAGCCCCATGAAAACTTCCAGAATGAGCCCTTTTTCTTTGGTCCAGTCAGAGGAAGTTGATGCTTCACCCTGTCCGTCACAGCCCACGCAAAAAAGTGTCACACGACAAAAGTGATGACCGGCCACTCGGCGTGACACGGAAACCGTGTTAAATGTTTCTCGGAACGTGACGCGACAGGAAATGTCGCATTCCGGTCATGAACTCCGATGAATCTAAACAGAAGCTTTCCGACACCAGCACTGACACAAGATGACACCCATGTCTCAGCAACAAAAAAAAAAAAGAAGAGAAGAAACCCATTTTTCGAGTACCGATTAATGAGGTCTAACGTGATGACGTCGAGTTATAAAACTTGAAGGAAATTTTTGTTCGGAAGCTCTAATAAAATATGGAATGTCCTCACGAA